AGGGACAAATCCTGGGGTTTTTTTTAGGGGGATTTTGATGGTTTCTTACATGATGTTCAGTTGAGCTAGCCAGGACTTGCACTTCCTCCTGCAGTCTGCTCACTTCACTCCATGCTCACGGTCCCTCCTTTCCTTAACTATCAAGTCTGCCTGGTGCATGAAGAGATTTGCTAATCTTTGGGAGAAGAAAGGGAGGTGAGAGTGATCTAACGCCTCAGGATTTTAGGAGGGACACCCTAAAGCCTACACTGTGGCTCTCCGAAATAATCCCTTCTTCAGGGCAATGTGCTTGACTGCAGCCTGTTTCTTCTTTTGCCACAAAACGACAGGTGGCAAGGAACTGGTATTGCCCTGTGGCCAGTAACCTCAGAGAATCCTTAATCTGTCAGAACAGGCTACCTTTCACTTGGCATTTTCCTCAGAACATCATGAACTCGCATTAGCCATGTGCTCCAGGTGATTTTCCTTTGACTGCTTCGGTCAAGACCTCTTTGGGGATGGTAATACTCCATATGATCATTCTGTCTTCCATCTGAGGGTCTCACACTGGTGAGTTCAGCCCCCTGGATCATATTGATTTACACTGAAGGAGAGAGTTTCACATGCAGAAGTCACATAGGAAGCCTGTGGCAGCACTTGATCCCCCCAGTAGCACCCCTGATTTCTAACATCCTTGTCTCAGTCACTTCAGCTCATCACTGCCTTATCTGTTGTAGTCGGAACACTACTTCTTTATCGTTGTTTCTTTTTCCCTTTTTGGGAAGTTGTGTGTTTTCAGGTGCCTCTTTGAAGTGGCCAAATTCTAATTTTCCTGTTTATGTGCACAGACTGCCCCAGGAACAAAATCTGCAGACTTCAGTCTAAAATTACCTGCTCTTCACCTACCAGCTGGTGCCAGTGCCTCAGTCTGTGATGGTAATTCAATCCTGTGAGCCAGTTTTGGCAGGTGCAAATTGCACTCACCAAAAGGGAAGCTGTCTGAGGGCCATTTTCTGTCCCTGAGAAAGCTAGTTTGGTCTTAAATGACCAAATGCAAGCCTGCCAGCTGAGACTTACAGAACCTGCTGAAGGGACCTAAAATTAGTTGGTATTCAGTGTACGTTCTTCCTCCATGACTCTGAAAAACCTTTCAATGTGTTGGTGTAAGAGCAATTGACTGAAGAATATGATGAGGGCTGAGTTGGGTGTGGTGTTCTCAGGTTCAGAGCCCTCTCCTAGCTTCAGGAAGGACGGGCCTGGTCCTGAGAGGTACAAGCTGTCTCCTCTAGCACCGCTGAGTGATTTCAACTCTTGCTGACTTCCAGCTATGTCATTCCAAAGGGAACTGGGAGCAGGCCTGGTGGCAGCCCTTGTCTCCTTGCAGATGACCTCTGTCCCCAGCCTCTGGGAGTTAGACTGCTATGGTGCCTGGCTTAAGCAATGCAGAGTTGCAGGATGGTCTCTGCTGTGGTTCAGCTGCTTCAGACTAACGGGGTTTGGGGCCAACAGTGGAGATGAGGCAGGAAGACGCATTAATATTTGCCTAGTAATAGGGATCCAGTTAAGTCTTTGCCCAAAAGCCAACACAGGCCATGCTACTGAAGAGAATGGGGCTTTAGTACTTATAACTCTCCTCTTCACCCCAAAAAGGCAAACCTTCACACCTTTTTTCCAGACAGGTGGGAATGACAAAGTGAAAGGGAGATTAAGTAGGTGTTAAGGAAGAAGATTTGAGGCTATATAAGGTCTTTTCTGCCATCTCTGGCTCTTTCAGCACAGTATTGCTACAGGTCAGACACGGTCAGCAGCTGAGACTGATGCTTTCAACTGGAGGACACCTGGAGTGTGTGGATGGACCTTTGTTGCCAGTATCAATTCAGATACATAACCCCACTGTGTTGGCTGAATTCTTTCTTGGTGACAAGTCTGTCAGTGAGGCAGTTTGTATAAGAGACAGGTCTCTCGCTCACAAAACCGTATTCTCAAGTGCTGCTGTCTGTGTGGGAGGCAGAGAGGGAACTGGAAGGGGGAGGAGTGGATAGACAGGCAAAGACAGCAACTGAGATGGAGAGAGAAGGAAAGAATAAATAGATGTGAGGAGCTATAAAGAAGAAAGCAAAGGTGGAGAAACAGGTCATTAGGGAAAATCGTTGTGTGATGGGATGAGGGAAGAGAAGGAGGCTGGGGAAAAACCCCTCACACTTGTATGTGAAGGCTTAGTTTTGGAAAATGAGGAAAGCACCTTTCTTTTTAGTCTGTGGGACACAGAGGTGCTTAAAGATGAGCAACGTGTTCATGCCCTTGAAAGCAGAGGACTGGGAAGGGGAAGGAGAGCAAAAGGGAAGACAAGATGATACCCAAGGTAGGGAGACTGCTTGGGATGTATTTAATAATGTGCAGAAGAGGGTTAAGTACTATGATGGAAGCGGATGTGCTGCTAAGAGTGCCCTGGGTCTGGAGGAGGAGGAGGGCAGCACCAATGGCTGCAAGCCCGCTTCAGTCTTGGGCTCCACTTGCTATTTCTTTGTGTTATTATTGTACCAGATGTAAAATGAGGATAGATTGCTCCCAAACCAGAAGAGCAGAGTTCTGTGAGTCCTGGATCTGTGTAGGATTTCTACCAAGCAGAACAGTATGAATGCTTTTTGGAGGCAATAGGAAGGAAAAGGTGAGGTGGGTGGTATCTACAGAAATGTTACAAAATGAGTAAGGAGAGGAAAATATTCTTGCACTTGACCAGGACCATGTGTTTATCTAAACTCCCAAGCCACAGAGAAGGTCTTAAGCTTGGTGAGCATCTGGGATTGTGTTTGTGTGGTACAAGATGCCCAAATGTATGATGAATCTTCAGTGAAGAATGAATGAGAGGAGAGTGGTGGTGGTTTGGGTTTCCAGAATGGTTTAATATCGCGGACTCAGAAATGTAAGTATTGTTCAGCTGCAGTCAGAGACCATGCTTTTTTACACCCAAAGGCCTGTGTAGAGTTGCTAGGGAAATTTAATTGCTGACTTTTAAGCAAGTGAAGGGCTGGTTTGATTATTTTTTTTTTTTCATTCCCTGGGAAGAGGTTGGAGTTAGATGGAATTGAAAATTTAAGGGAAGAGTAACAACTATCTTGCTTAATACTGGCTATGAAACCCTGGGGGCAGATGATCTGCCTCTCATCCTTCAATGTTTTATTTCAAAACTGGCCAGCTTGGCTCATCTAACATCTTTTGGAGGCTCCATCTCAGCAAATAGTACCCAGCTAAAATTAATCCTCTTCAAGGGAGGTGTGTCAGGTAGGTCCATGGAAAGCCTCCTGGAAGTGCCTGTCCCATTTCCATGCTACAGGAAGAACTGAGGCCACTTTCCTAGGCTAACTGCCAACCTTTCAGATGGCCTTTTCAGTATGCAGCATGCTAGTGTCACAGTCACCATAACTGGTGCATCATGAGAGCTACGGACTTCCATGATTTTGGTGCTGCAGTTTCCTTGGTCAACTCCAGCTGACCAGTATTGGAGAAGATAGTGGCCATCAAACAATAGCTTACAAGGGAGAACAGGAGTGGGGGGAGTTTCCATCTTAGACCAAGATGTAAGATGTTGCCCAGCTTTGCTCTGGACCCAAACCTGGTATTTCTGTGTGTAGGTTTCCTCCAGGCCAGCATTTCTGCCTAGATGGAGATTAAAACACCACCTTTGTTAGCCTGTTGCCCAGAAGAGTTGGCAGCAGAGACCGTTGTTGCAACCCTGGGACCTTCTTCCTGTCTGTCATTAGAGTGATCTGCACTCTGGGCTGCTTTGGAAGAAACATCTATCTGTAGAGGTTTTTGAGGAGCCTCTTTATTTCGAAATCCAGACAGCTAATAAGCTCATATTTCACTTAGCAGGCAGAAAGCTCTCAGCAGGCTCCTGGCAGCGCTGAAGGTCAGCAGGGAGGTAATGAAGCAGGCGACGCAGATCTAACTGCTGCCTCTTGTTTACTCATTATTTCCGAAGCTCAGAGTTGACATGGTGCTGCACCACCGGAGGCCTGATGGCAAGCTGCCCAGCGGCCATCTCCTCTCCTCCTGTTGTGCAGAGGTGTAGCCATGGGAGCTCCATCTCACAGCTCACCCTGCCTAGTGAGGCTTGTTGGGGTGATGTTTTTGTTGTGTTTTTATAACCCTTTGAAGCCCACTCTGTCCATTTGCTGAATTCTCTGGATGCAGCCATGCTGTTCACTGCTTTCATCAGTTCTCTGGGGAAAATGGCTCTAGCTAATCACCTGCAGTACATCTCCCATCCTGCTCGGCTCTGTAGGTGAGCCCAGCTATCCACTGCAAGGAGGAGACGGGAGTGAAATCTTTCAGCTGCTTTCCAGTAAATTCATGCTGCTGCACTGGGGTCCTTACACTGGTTTGCACCAGCTGAGGATCTGGCGCTTGCTTTATTCGGCTGTGGCTCCACCAGAAATGCTGACAGCAATAATCCTTGTAGATCTGATACCTGTGATAACTGAGGAACTAATCCTGCTTTTTTTTGGTTTTTTTCTACTACCCATCTGGATGGAGAGTATCACATAAGATCACATATTAAGCACTTCCTAAACTTGGGATAATGCTGCAAAAAGAAGGGTAGAGGGTGAGATACAAGCAGGGAGGAGCTATTGATCTGCTTTTCCATCAAACAAAATGTTTTCTCCTTACCTAGGAGGAAGGGAGCTGTGGTAAGCAAAAGAAAAGTACGATTTATTTGGTTGGACATGAGTATATCTTGCCACTGACAAATTAGCATCATGTATATGGTCAGGATGGACTTGTCTTGATTACACAGAGCCTAGTTGTGGCACCCATAGGTGATAGTCAGTCTGACTTGTTTGATGTTCTTGCAGGTACAGGCACTGTAGTGGTTGCTTTGAATATAGATCAAAGTTACTAAAGAAAGAGCCAACAGTTTCCAGTTTTGTCTTATGTCCTCCTCTGTTGCCTCCAGGTAGAGTGGCATTGGCTTGCTCTGTCATTTCCCTCACCTCTCGTTGTTCTGCTTCCTCTTCCAGGTGCTGTATCATGTCCAGATAGGACACTGCCAGTGTGAGAATCATCCCAAGACAACTTCTCCAAGGCCTTGAGCTCAAGTGGTTCCTCTTTCTCCAGCAGCCAGGCAAAGAAGAGCTGGGATAGCCCCGCGCACGTGGTGTCCAGTCACTACCCACAGCGCTCGTAGGGATGGATTCCAAAGGCAATGTCCGAAGTGGAAACAAACCTGACGTCAAGGCCCCCAGCTCTGGAAAGCCAGAAAAGCCCAACCCTGGGCCTGCCACAAATGCAGACAAGAAGGAGATCCCCAAAGAGCAGCCTGCTCCTGCCACTGCCACCTCTGTCACCAAGAAGGCCGGTGGTGATGCTGCCGTCGTGAACAACCACAGCAACCTGAAACCCAGCCCTGCCGCCACGGAGACACAAGAGGCCACCGGCCAGTCCCCTGACTCTGACCACAAGGGAAACAGCTCTGAGGAGTCACCAGGCAGCATCTTTGACAACATGAAGCCCTTGATCATTGTCGGAGGAGTGGCGGTGGCTGCGCTCGCTGTGATTGTGGGAGTGGCGTTCCTAGCCCGGAAAAAATGAAGACCGAGACGGGGTGGGGATGAGAAACCCAGCCCAGCTGTACAGCTCCTTTTGAGACAAATGCATGCAGAAAAATTCTATACATATCTATATATATAGAGAGTGAGCTAGATAGGTCAACAACAAACACCAACTGCAACTTCAAGAGTCTTGTTCAAGACAACTGTGCCAGTTTGACCCAGTGTGGGTAACTCCATGCACTCAGTGTGTTCTTTCATGTAATATATCTTGGCTTATACCACTGTGTATAGATTACAGCTTCTCCTGATTGGTGTAAATGACGGTGTCCCCTCCCCTCCCCTGCTGTACTCCCTGGGAGACACCCCCACCTCTCTTGCAGTCCCCTGTTTTCAAGTCCAAAGTGTTCTACGTCCCATCCAGAGTCCCCACTTTGTGTTTTGGTTTCTGTTTGGTTTGTTTTTAAGTTGTGTTGTGGTAAAGAAGATGTAAGGGTAGGTGGGGCCTAGTGCCAATACCCAGTTTGCCTGTCACCGTGTGTTGGGTTGGTGTTTATCCAGCACCTCCGGGGCAGGGGAAGCACTGGGCAATTGCAGACAAAAGGCAGCTCCTTGACCCAAACAGCAAAGTGTGTTCTCTAACAGGTGTCTTATGTACCTGCTCCTCATCAACCCACCTTTAAAAACCTAACGCAGAAGTGCCCCAGAGAAAACAGGCTGGCTGCAGCTGGGGCTAAGACTGCAGCATGGTAGAGCTGAGTACGCAACTTGGGACATCACATCGGGTCACTTCTCTAGCTGAGCTGCCAGCAGAGGAGTGAGCAGAGGAGCCGTACCGCAACCAACGACGCAGTCAGCAGCGAGTGGAGGTACCTGGCGAAGCCCCATGCTGACCTCACGCAGGTGGCTGCTGCTGTCTACTTGGTTTCTTGCAGGTTGGCAGGCAGCCTTTAGGATCCCATGGCTCGCCAAGGTCATACAGGCAGCGTTTGGGGGTAGAGAGACTTTGTTTTGGATCTAGTATTTCCTAAAGTTAGGCTGGGCTTTGCAGGATGCTGTGGCCTCAGCCCAGGCTCCCTCAAGGTCAGCTGGACTCTTTCTGTTCATTCCTTTAGGCTTTGAATCAGGCCATTCACCTGATTTTTTTTTTTTTTTCCCCACTGAAGGCTATGGACTCTTGGTACATGAGAAGTTAGAAAAAAAAGACATGAGCTGGTTTTAGGGGCAGAGAGGACCTGTGACCCCATGTGTGAATAACACTGACCTGCTTTATACCAGGGATACCCTGTTCAAGGGCACTGGAGGTCTGTCTGTCCTGGGGGGATTTCTTACCCCGCCCCCCCCATGACAGTAAGAGGGATCTGTGACTCCTCCACACTTTGAAAATGGAAACAAATTCCCATCCCTCAGGAACAGCCTGGTTTCATTGGTGAGTACCTTGGCTCTAAAGCCAGACCTTGTGAGGGGGAAAGGGAAGGCAGGCGACAAGAGAGGGTGTTTAGTGCATTGGCTGATGCCTTTCCCCTAACACCATGAGGTGGGTGGATCTTATTCTGAAAGCTGCCATTAGACTACTCTGAGCTGCTGTGCTACTGCAAAAAGTCTTACAAAAAAGACCTTACATTTTGTTTTTAAATTAGATCAGAGATTAGATGAGCTCAGAACCACAGAGTCTCCGGAGCTCAGCAGCAGTTGCAGCCAATGGGGGCAGGGTTTTGGAGCAATGGTTAGCAAAGGGTTGTGACAAAGTGGAGGGAGTTCAGTAAGAAGCCTTAGTCATACATCTCTAACTGAGCCTGGGTGTATACATTCAGTTAGTATGGGGCCAGAGAAAGGTGTATGTTCCTGCCTTTGAGGTATCTGCTTCGGGCAAGGTTACTGAATAGGATGGTGAGTATGTATAATCTGAGCTGGCAATTCTTCTCTTAGCTCATGCCTGTCTTATTTACCTCCAAGTTTGGTTGGCCGAATGCATATGGTTTCCCCAAACAAAAGTTTTTTTGATGCAGCCTGGCCATTCTTATGCTGAGCTTTGTCATTCTCTTTTCCCCCAAGGCTCATAAAATATTCCCAAAGGTGCACAGCCTCTGGGAGTATCAGATGCTGTCTTCTGATGAACAACAGGCTGCAGTTTAATGTCTACCTCTACTTTTACCAGTACAGAGACAGGGGGTTGCCTTCACAGTGTTTTTTGGAACGAGTGCTACAGCCCTGGGTGAAATCCTGGTTCCTTAAAGCACTCTCTGCATGTGTTGTGCACGTGTCTCCTAGCAGCTGCGTGTTACTCAGATCAGAGAATTTACTCGGTTTGAAGCTGAAGGGTCCATGGTGGGGTGTTTTTGTAATGCCATTTTTTGTCTAGAGAACTGATTTCCCCTCATCCTGTTTTGCAGATGTCCAGAGGTTATTTTGGGCTGGGGGAGAAGGGAGGGCAAACAATAGCAAATAGATAGGAAAGGTATTTGGAAAGCAGAGATGTGAGAGAACCTAGCTCAGAAGCAGTTCCAGCACTGCTCCCTTGCAGTGTCTGCAGTGAGACTTTGCCAGAGGACGTGGTGAGTCTGTGGCATCTACACTAGAGTCTGGGGGTGCTGCAGAGCCCCCAGACCCTGCCTGTGCTCTGGGCACATTCTCTTGCCATCCTGGGGAGAGACTCTATTGCATATCTGCTCCCCCTGCCCCTGCTTTCACCCTGAACTGTTCATTCTGGTTCCCCACAGGAGAAATTTGGGTGCCCAAGCCAAACTGCAGTGCAGTCCTGCCAGGGACCTGATCTCCAAGACTGGGAGGCCTGTGCCCACTGGGTACAGAGGAATGTATCCAAACTGCCGGGGTTGGGATGTGGGGATGGCTGTTCCTGGGCTCCTCTTCCCTTGGATCTCTGAAGCACAAAGTTCTTGGCTGTAGGGAAATTTTGCATACATTGCTCTTGAGGAAGGGAAATCGGTCACTCCTGCTCCAATTCATGTTTAGTCAAAGTAGGGTGGTGATTTTCAGACAGTGACTTCTGTTTTCAAGTGGGAGGCCTGTCTTCAAGAGATGCTTCTACCTGTCCTGTCTGTTCCCTCCTTCTCAGCCCCGGCATGTGATTACATTTTTAGCAGTGTGTGACAACATTACAGATATAGCATCTATCCATTCTGCCTTGACTGGCATAGATAGATAGAGGGAGGAAAAAACCACCTGCCTCATTTGAGTCTCCTATTTTACTTCCTAAAGTGTTTTTATTTCCTTGACAACAGTTTTTATTTCCTTTGGCAACTGAAGAGGGGGAAAACAGTTCTCAGATGACATGGGCCTTAACCATTTCTGTCCACCTCCAACCCCCCCTGTCCTTAGAGCTCTTAGATGCAAGGCCACTAATTTCATCCAGAAACACACCACAGAGATGGTGATGGGATGGGACTGCAGGTCATCAGCTGGGTATGTAACCACATGGGAACCCTCCCTGAGCAGGGAACATGGTACATCCTGTACCTAAGGGATTTTCCACTTCCTGTGATCACTTAACCATTGCTGTCTGCTGTCCAGATTCACTACCTGAACCCACATTTTTGGCAGTTTGGTTTGGAAAACACCTGTGTGCGTGTGTATACACCACCCTGCCTTGAAGAATGTTCTGCATATGTATGTATACATGCATATATGTTTATATTACTGCAGTCTGGGGAGGAAAAAACAAGCCAACCTTGAGATGACTCTTCATTTGTTCCCCTGCATTCACACAAAGTGTCCGTGATGTCTTTTTTTGTGCCATTTGCATCATGCCATGCAGCACCTGAATTCCTTTTCGGTCCTGGTTTCTTCTCAGTGCAAAGAATGTATGGCTAGTGAACTGCTGAATGTTCGATGTGTCCGTTTGTGCTAGAAGCTCAAAATTACTGTTCCCCTCCCTGGATAGTCGTGTGGGCTACTCGCTTTAAAATAAGGCACTTTTAGACTATACTGAACTATACCAGACTGTGTTGTGGCGCTTTTTGAGGTGTGGGTCTAGTGTTGATTTGAGTCAGGTAGCTCAAGCGTAGATGATACACACACTCCTACGCATGCAGCTGGGGCAATGCACTTCAGTCCCGACTTGCAAATGACATCCTTTTAGCAAACACCTCCTGTTCTGCCTTAATGTGCCAGGCTGTGCAGTGGTTTCATTTTGAGAAAACAAATGTCCAGCGAGAACTAGGCTGAGAAGAGCAAATTCACCTCTCTCAGAATCGAAGCGAGATTGAAACCAAATTTGTCGAAGCAGAAGGCTTTAAATGACTGAACTCGCTGTGCTAAATAAATAGTTGTCTTTTCTCGTACTGAGCACATGCCGTTATTTGCTTGATGTTATTCTTTGTGTGGTGTTTGTGATATGAAGTCCTTCTAGTGATATCTCCATGGGGAGAATGAACTAACGCTTAAAACTAATCAGATTCTGTGCTTGGGATTTGAAGAGATCTAGATTGCTAGTTTACTCTTTTGATAACGTCTATAAACTATAAATTTGCAAAACTGACTTCAGACATTGTAGCTTATCACTAAAACTATAGGTTTGATGACTACACCTGATCTCAGTCTATTTTAAAGGAGCCGTAAGTTTTAGTCAAATATAAAAATATCATTATGGTCTCTTGTACAACTTAGTAGAAGATTTTTGATGCTTCTAGCTTTAAGAAAGATGAAACAGACTACACTTCTGCTTCCTCTTTCTACCGATTTAACATGCTATGGACAAGTCCCATTATTCCTAACAGTTCTGCAGTAGGATGCAAACAAATCTGGAAGCCAAAGGATAATGCAACAGCATTTTCAGGAGGGTAAGAATGTGTTCCTCCAGGTGCTGTTCCCCTCTTGGGCTCACACTTAAAGCACTGAACAGTCGCTTGCCCTGAAGCACTTCTTAGTTCCCTTAGGTTGAGTGATAAATTAAAAATGGGTTTATGTCTCTGCTGAATCAAAGTATAGGGGTTGATCCATATACTACTGAAAACAAGGGGTGTTTTCCCATTGGCTTCACCATGCTCTGCTCAGGCATTTGAGATCTCTTTGGCACCGGGGATATGATTGCAGGTCATCGTAAAATGTAAAATCATCTCAAGGGCATGGGTATTTAAAATGGACAGAAACATTCCTTAGTCCTTCTGCTGAGTATAGGGAGCGTCTTCTCTGGTATTAGCCGAGGCAGCCATGCTCACAACCACCCTTACTTTAGTATTTGTGTATAAACAACAACAGTGTAACTAAAGAAACATAGAGTTGGTGAGAGATGATTTCTAAAAATTTCCCTTCCTTTCCTGGAAATAACACTGGGATTTAGAAATCAGCATCCTTCTAACTATTCTTAGAATTGCTTCAAAATAACAGTCCTGAAGATTTGAGAAAAAAATTATTCTTCAAGAAACAAACCAAAAAAGGCAATGAAAAAATGTATTTGAAAGGTGAAATTCTTGGAAATTCAATGAGCTCTACAGAAAGCTTCAAGATGCTGCTTCTGAGAGAGTATAAGAAACAGTACAGAGAAGTGCAGAGAAAAAAGCACATTACATCATTATCTTAGCAGTTTTGGTAAGGACACATTAACTTTTATACCGTATCCACTTCTATTTTTTCCTAGGACAAAAGCAAAAATGACCAACTCTGATGCCAAGCAAATTAACCTTCACTAACTGACTTTTCCAAATGCATTTTTTTCTGTCTCTGTTCAGTGTTAAAATGTTAGTGAAGCAAGAAAAAGACCTGAAGTTTTCAACAACTAACTTTGTATGATTAAGGGAAATTGCAAGCTTATGATTTGGGCATTTTGAAAGGCTGTGTTCTCTTTTCACATGTTTTGCTATGAAAAGGACTGAAAAATCCAGCCTACTTGCACTTTGATCCTCTTAGTCTGTGACTTAGTCACGCTGGAGCGGGGATGTTGGTTCCCTTCCCAAGCCATGTAGCATCTTACTGTGGTCTCGCTCCCTTTGCCATGGAGCTGTGAGAATTCTCCCAATCCAGGGAGAGCCATCTTCCGTAGGTGTAGGCAACAGCACTACGTCATCTTTTCCATGAACTGACTACAGTTCTGTTGTACAGGTTGGGCACCTCCCTTCATGAAGAGAATTGGCTTTGATGTGGATAATAAAAATTCTGTATCAAAGTTCGTTAAATTCTCAGCACAGGAGGCTGGAATCTGGATATTTTCTGTATTTGATTCTTGATGCTTTCGGGGAGAAACTGGCTGATGCTGGAGATCTGACCTGGGCTGCCTGTGCATTTTAGGTCCTGCGAGTGGCGCTCGATTGACAACTCCACCTCAGGAGGTGAAGAAGCCTGCGAAGCAATCTTCTGGGCCAAGGGCTGCGGTACCACCCCGCTACTTCAGGATTTGTGCTCTGCAGGTTGTGAAGAAGCCAGGAGAGGGCGATGCAAGCAGCGTCGTTCAGCCACTGTGGATTAAATACTGGTGCTCTTTTCAGCCCGCCATCAGGCCCTAAACGCTTCTCTTGCAGTGACTAGTTTTCGCCCATCGTTCTTTGTAAAACCTCTCCTGTCCTCATTCAGTTGGAGATTAGTTATTTCCTAAAGTTCATCTATTTAAAGTATTAATCATTGAAGGGAAGTTTATTTTTTAAGTGGCATTAAGGGCAAAGAGCACAGACTGAGGTGTTTTAGTGTCATGACAAATATGTGGCAAAAATGAGAGGGTACTTAATCCAGGTTCATCAAACTGAAGGTAGCTATACAGAAGATTGAGCTAGATTATCCTGAATTGAGCAGCCCAGATGATGACAGAAGGTGCTACTGGGGGTATTGCAGTGGAACTGAGACACCGGCTTGGAACACACCCCACGTGCCATTTGGCTGGGCTTGGCTGGGTCTGTCCAACACCATTTTTCTATGTCTTTTATTGCATCTTGCAGTGGTTAGCTCAGATCATGCTACCTTGATTGACTGGCTCTGGGGAGTTTAATCTGTTGAGCAAAGCGGTTGTATGGTGACTTTTCCCTCTTTTTATAGCTCAGCAGTCCAGTCCTGTGACCTGCTTTTCTTTCTAATGTCCAAATTTCCAGGCTGTCTGCTCATGCTAGATCTTCAACTGTTACAAGCTACATGGCTTCATTGGTTTCTGGAGATCTGATTCATTGCTTGTCCTTTACTGCTGCTTTGGCTACTGGGCTGTATTCCCTTTCCTTTCCCTATTATCTTCCCAGACAGCTCTGCAGATGTGGCCTCTCCACAGCCAGGCAGAAACTGCCCCAAGGCTGAGGCAGACTTTGTGTAGCCCCACCCAAAAGATACCGGCAGTGTTCAGCCAGTGAGCACCTCAGGGGAACATGGAGACACAGCAGGGAATTTACGAAGTTTTAATCTGCCCTGATCATTGAGGCTTGAGGGGCCGAGTCTGCAAGATGCTCTTGTCTGCTGCAGGAGCTCAGCAGGTGAGGGAACCACGGCTGGAAGGTCCTTCTCTTGTCCTTGCTCTTCCATGTCAGAAAGTCACTGCATGGCCACAAGCTCTGCTCAGGATTGGAGCCTGCCTTGCCAGCCAGGTGTGAGGCCTGACTGCTCAAGAGATGCTGCCACAGTGTCAGCATATGCTATGCTCAGCTGAAGCTAGAGCTTCTCTGGTACTCCAGACCACCAAAACCACAGGCTGAGAAGAGGTGCTCAAGAGCTACCTCTCAGCTGAAGTCAGTGACCTGCATTTTTCTGCGGGCCCTGAAGGCTCAGCTCCTGTGACAGGGGCGTGCTGCAGCTCACTCTCATCCTCCATTAGCCACAGGGCTGAGGACACAGAGGCCTGCAAGGATCTGTCTGTTGGAATAGACCGCTTAGGTGTTACTGTGTACAGCAATGCAAGACTGCTGGGCCTTAAAAATTCAACTCTTACTCCACTAACCATGCCAATAACCTGACACCCAAAGCCTGCAAGCCATGTGGCACATCATAGCCATTGGCTTTCCAAAGGTGTGGGCTCGGCTCTACCCTGTGTGCTAGTTCTGCTTGCTGCTTTGGACTGTGTGTGCTCTGAGAGGAAGTATTTGGGGACTCAAGCTCTGTTTGTTGCTATGCTCTTCAAATTAAATAGATTTTTTTTTTTCTTACTGAAAAATCTAATAGGTTAAATGGGATTTAGACCATTGCTCTTGCTCCTGTTTCTCTTTCAGTTGCTCCAAGCTTGAAATTCACAGACAATTCCATTATTTTTTCATTTCTCATAGCCACAGTGCAGCACACCAAGAATAAAGTTACAGGTTCTTCCTGTCTGTGCACGATGACGCTACAGTACCAAAACGCCCAGTGGAAAGAGAGGAATCTTTAATCATCTTTGCAACTTTAAAGACCTGCATTGTATCCCTGGTTTTGCCACAGCAGCTTCAAGCCGTCAAGTTTCTGGGACAATTTGATAAGAACAAGGGTGCCATACAATTTTGTCATGTTAAAACCAAACAGACAAACAAAAAACCCAAACAAACCAACAAGAGAATAATTTGGCTTTACTAAGTTTTGAGCAGCCCTTCTTAAGCCTGGTGCCTGGTTAGGACCGTTTCAATTGAAATATTTAAAAGGTGCAATCTCAACTCCCCAGTGAAAACCAACTCTCTTCTAGTGGTAGGTGCAGGTTGTTTACAAATTTGTGGAGAAACAAAAATTGGAGAAAGGGAACTCGAAGGTCAGATTACAGGGGATTTTTTTTTTCCCCTTTCGTTTGCTTGGATTCTGTTACTTTTTCAGGGATTGATCCAAAGCCCTCAGAAGTCAGGTAGAAAGCTCAAACACGTAGTGGGAAACTGCTTTCTGCTGCCTTGGGAGCCCCAGGCATCTTTCCAGTGACCTCGGTGGGTTTTGAGGCAGCCCCTGAATGTGTTTTCCAAATGACAGTAATTTTCAGAGTGACACCTTGACTTCTTCCCTGTACAAACAGACCTGCTTGTTACTTACACATATTTACCTGTGTTCAACATACAGGTTTGGTTTTTTTGCTTTCAGAAACTATATGCTGCTAGACACATTTCCTGGAGGGAAATGGACACCTACCTACACACAAAGCTATACAGCTAATTTATACCTTGTTGAATTTATAATCTTGTCTATGCTTCTATGGACACTTTGTATGGGCTGCAGCTCAAATCCTAAAATAGTCAAGAATTTTTCCTTTCCCATATAGTATTCTATTTACTTTGACTTAAAAAAAGCGTATAAATGCAATAATGCAGGTAGACTAGAAATACTAGATTGAAAATTAAAGTAGTTTAGCTTGTCCCATTGTGACTGACAGTGTTGTACGACACCCAACGCTGTACCCTAACATTTTCCAGGCTTTCTACGTAGCTGAATCTAGTATTAGCTTTGAAAACCCATTGTATGAGTGGTGGGTGGATGGGTTGGAAACGTGTGCTCTCTACACACTGTATGTTACTCACATCAGAAGCTGTATGGCCACTCCATATGCTGTGAAACTGTAAATGATACCCAATACACCTGTAACTCTTACCAGGATTGTGAGAAATAAACTATATATAGAGATATATATACACCCATAGATATATTGTATAATTCCTCATGTGAACATCTTTGTGTATGTGGGGGTGTGAGTGAAAATGGCTGTTCTCCCTTGCTCTCCTTCCTCATGTTTGCGTTTCCTGCAGGCCCGGTATTTGTTAGGATTAGCGATCCCAGTGAGAACTGTATAAAATGGCAGTTCCTGCCCCAAATACACTCCAGCCTGCCTAGGGGAACCAGGCAAAGGAAGGTTATGATCATTCCCACATAGGAACTAAGGTGTAGAACAATTAAAGACTTACTCAGAACCACAGAGGCGATCCCGTCCTGCAGGCTGGTCTCCAAGCTCTGTTTGTTGTGACCTCTCTCCTGCCAAATTAGGGTGTGCTCTGATTTGCTTGGTTTTGGTTTTAAGTTAGCCTGGGAGCATTTATCCTCACAAGTAAAACATCCCCTGAGCACCTGGCTGATGACTGGGGGGTCCCTGCACATCAGCTCGAGCCAGGGACTCCTGGCAGAGGGGAGGAGGGTTTTGGCAGTACACGTCACCGTGAATGGTTGCTGTCATGTTACACCAGCCCCAAACAGGGTCTCTGCAGAAGTCTGGAAATGAATCTCTTAAGAACTGTGAAGACATGTATTGTAAACTCCTTGGGGTCAGGAAACAGAGACATCCTTTAGTTGCAAAAGCATTAATCATCTGAGATTTTTGCTACAGAAACACAGCTGAGGACTCAAGTTTTAACGTCTTAAAATTTGTAAAAGCAGGAGAGCAAGTAAATTCTCCTTTTCTGAGTCTGAATGCTGAATCTGAGAAGCTGGGATGGGTGGGTGCCTGACCCTCCCCACTGCCCCTAGTTAGGGTCTGTGAAATAACACATGCCTTGGGCCAGTGAGGTACAGATGAGCTCTCTGGGCAGAGGTGGCAACCTCTGCTGTGAGAGTGCCGTTGCAAAGGGACTGAGGCTCTTCAGTTCCTCAGTTGGGGAAATGCACCCTCTTCCCATAAGAGCCTGGCTCAGCTCTTCTTAACAGGAGCAGGTGAGCAGCTGTGGCCGGGAAGGCAGCAGAGATGGAATGGCAACAGGCGATGCTGCAACTTGGGAGGTTTCCCTGTAACTTGGAACCACTGGAGGAAACTGCACAAACTGTCCTCCTCGGCCTGAGATAAAACAATGCTCACTCAATAGAGAGGAGGGGGGAATGGGCCGGGGAATCTCTCTCTTCTGTCTCCTTCAAACAAAAATCATCTTTATTCTCGCTGCTGAGGAGGGCAGTGGCACAGACACATCACTGCAGTTGTGGTGCCAGTGTAGGGAGCAAAGCTAGCATCAGCTCCGAGCTTTCAAACACTGGTTTGGATATCTTCCACCCATCCTTTCTGTGTTTTGTCTACTTCTTTCCCTCTGTATATTTACAAAAATTTTAAAAGTATGAAAAGCGGAGACTGTGTTTACAATTACGATGCATTGCTTTTGCCTGCTCCCTTCTACTCCAGCCATTATTTAGCCACAGAAAATGAAGCAGTGCCAAATCACTGCGCTTTAAACGAGAAACACAGCGGATTTTACCAGACCAGATTGGAAGAGGAAGCACTCAGCTGACTTAACATAACTGTAAGGCCTAGGCTCTGTCAAAAAGAAGAGTCTGCATGAAGTAGCAAATAATTTGTTGTTCTTGTGATCCTGTTGTGGCAGTAGTCATGTTTGTTAACTTCCCAAATTAAGCAGAGAGGGGCTGCAAAGTATCTAGTCCTTGCTGGAAGAGAATTCAACATAAGACTGTTTGCAAACCAGTGCTCTGATAACACTGAGACATTGGCACCTCCTGAGCAGTGGAGGATCAAGTATTAAGACATCACTGTACAATTTAATCTCCCAGCAACTGGGTGCTCTCACATGCATTTTTTCTATGTCTTCACCTTAAATTATTGTCATGTCCTCTAATGCTTTGTGTTTTGAGCCATCTAGGGAGGATGAAAAGAGTGGATGGAACAGGATTCGAGACAGCGGTTTTCTTTCTGCTCTTGGATTTAGAAGAAAAGTACTGGAATAACAAGGAAGGAATAAGGAGCATAAACGCAATGCTCCGTGCCATGAAGGCTTAGGCTGCTGGAGTGGCACTAAGTCCCCCACACAGTAGCTAAACAGAACAGGGAAAGATAGGCTTTGGGTTTGTTTTTTAGAAAAAGAATCATATTCTGGTAGCTAAGCTGGAGCAAAGGGAGAGGAACATCCAGGTATCTCCATGGTTAACCAGCCTACGGTTTCAGAACACACTTTTGGAGGGAAAAGGAGACTGATGGACAGATGCCTGATGGCATAAGCTACATTTCCTTTAGGAAACCAGGATAAAAAATAGGTCCTTTCAAATAAACAAACAAAGATAATGGTAGAATTGTACTGTCTTAATTTTATATCTATCATTTTATAATGCAATAGCAACCATCAAGAGAGAAACCTAATAAATTAACATAGAAAAATGCACATCCAGAAACTGAGCAAGGTTTACAAAAATTACTTGTCCTCCAGTGAGCCACAGCTGAAAGCAATGACACCTGCAATAAATGAACATTTTACTTGAAGAATAATGACTCATTAAAGAGCATATGCAAACAAGGCAATCTGGACCAAATATGAGATGGGAAGGACAGCTCCAGGAAGGTTTGGATGACTTTACTTAGTTTGCAATTCTGATGCTTATTCCAGCAGCTCCAGGAATCACCCCATTCTTCATCCATGTTTTTCACACATCATTTTTTTCCCAGCAAACTACTCTGACAGGTCTGTATGCATCTTGTACCATCCTGTATAACATAATTGTGGCTTCTTCAGGGATGCGAAAGAGCACAAAGTAGGTCTGTGCCTCCACAACATCCCTGAGGTTATTCATCCAGAGGGTGAGAGATATCAAGAGCAAAATCTGAGATATAACTTAAAATAATTTCAAAACAGCTTTAGACAATGACTTAAAACCAGCTTGGACTTATCAAAAGGATTTTTGTTCCTCCTTATCTCCTGTGTCAGAAACACATCACTAGAACAACAGACCACGATTCGTGTTGGCCTGGGCTCACTGGGAAGGCTTCTGGTGTTCAGTTGGCTGAGGAGGGACTTTGTGTATTTGAAGCAAGGAAGTTTGAAACCCAACGCTGTAGCTGGATGCGGCCTCTCAGCTGGTCTTTGAAAATTAGCTGACATTTTGACATTAAAGCCTGCTTTTTCATTTCCAGTCCACAACACGGTGTCGCTAACTTCCCCTTCTCTGAGGTGAGGTGGTGCTTATAATAATCTTCAGTGTTTCAGTCCTACTGGGCATCAGTATCAGTTGGATGAAGGAAAAAAAAAATGCAGTCAAAACCCAATACAGAACTTCATGAAGAAGCGAGCTGTACTGTTGGAGCAGAGCTTGAGGAGAGCCGCCGAGACGGCCGCCATGCTAACTCTGAAGGGGAAATAAAGCTGCAGGGTAGCGGGGAGGGGGGAGGCAGGTGGGACGTGCCACCAGGTGATCCGCACGATCCGCCGTGGTGCCTCCGAGAGGGGTTAAAAGGCACCGCGGCCCCTGGCGCCCGCCCCGCCGCTGCCCTCACACTTTCCCGCGCACGGGTCCCCTC